CCCCCCCCCCAAAGCCAAGTGCTGTCTGATTTCCTGGCCCTTCCTCCCGCTTTTGTTGTTGCTTCTCTGGTGTCCCGGGCGTGTCTGTCGTCCCTGTGGGTGCCTGTCCCCCCCCCACAGCAGCATTGCTGTTACGGCCACAACGCCTCCCCGTATTGCTGAACAGAGCCGTGCACGTATGGCGTGAGGTATAACCCCTGCCTTGGCCAAGCACGTCCCCTTCGCCAAATGGGACAACCCATTTGGGTTGGGTCTCCCTGGGACGTCTCCCAGTCACTGCTCTCCAGTCTCCTCTCTTTTGCGTGGGGGTTCCTGTGGGCTGGGCAGCTTCATTGCCTGCCTGTCCTTGGGGCTTCCTGGTATTTGCTGCGTCACCATTGCCCACACCTGTCTTAGGACTGTGAAGCCAGCTGTTCTATCCCAATCTGTGTAACATACCTGTGTGTGCCAGTTTTCCTAAAAATTCTCAAATTAAGCAAACGGAGGTCTGCTCATCCATACCAGCAGCCCTGAAGGACGCGTAAGTCCCCAGATATAGCCCTGATGTTCCAGGATGCCTGCAGGATAGAAAGACAGGCTTTGGAAATGCAGGACCTTTTTTGATGGTGGGTGCTGCAGAGTCTGGGCTCCACAGATAATCTGTGTGAAACTAAGATTCCTCACGGGCTGAAGTTCTTCAGTTAACTTGCTGAGTTTCACTCTGCGGCTCTCAGCAAGATCAGAAATCTCTCTGGGATTCTGATGGTGTAAACAGAACTATTCAGTTTGTCCGGTTAAACCAGCTGCTAAAGCTGCTTCCGGATCATTCTGTCTGCATGTTGTGACAGGAGTCTTCACAATGGCGCTGCTTTCATGTAAGCCTCAGCTGTGCTCGTCTCCTGTGAATCACCATGGCTTTGTCAGAGAGCCCCTGCCCTGTGTCCTGCACTCCCTTCTTCAGGCTCTTGGAGAGAGTTGGACCTCTTTTCAGACGTTGCACAGGCACTACTGCTGGTTTGAACTGGCTTTCTTGGAAATTTCTGTGTTTTGAATTTTGCTTTATAATTATCATGCATACAATATACACATTCTTCATCCCCCTGCCTTGTACTGAGGCTCTGTGTCTCTCAGGGAAGAACTTGTCTTCTAACAAACTTCAAATAAGGGTGTACTCACACTAGGCCTGGTTGCCCAAACACGATTATTGCCCTTCCCCACTGGTCTGTGCTTGCGTTATGCTTAATGTTCCCGGTCCGAGCACGCTTTCCTCAACACCACCGGCGCTTGGAGAGGTGCCTGGGCACATCACACATCAAATGTGGCTGCTAACTATGCCTGAGCACGGAACTCAGACAAGACATCAATGATGCGGCTGACTTTTCCACAAACATGGCAGCAAAGGCATCACTTTGGTCTGCGAAGTGCAGTGTTTGCTGGAGATTTGGGCTATTCAGTGCATCCAGGAACAACTGGATGTAACATAGAAAAACTCTGAGATAGCTCAGAAGATGTGGGGCTGTCTTATATGTGCAGCACAAATAAATGAAAATCACTGTGTTGCATACTCAATAAATCTGTGTGAGTCGTGTGTCATTAATAAGCTACAAAATAAGGGCATTAATCATGAGCTCCAAATGTTGTGCTGTGAGATGTTTCCTTCAACACAAAAAAATCATACAGTGATGAAAGCGTGCTCAGGCCAGGATCAATAAGCATAATGTATAGACTATAGAGTACAGACTGGCAGGGGAGTGGGGGCAATTGTGCTTGGGCAGGGTACAAGGCAACCAGGCCAAGTGTGAGTACAGACTAGCGGGGGAGTGGGGGCAATTGTGCTTGGGCAGGGTACAAGGCAACCAGGCTAAGTGTGAGTATGCCCCAAGTGTCCTGTTGCAGTCTAGGCTTGTTAAAGGGTGTGTGTTGGTGTGAAGGGTGACGCTAAAGGCTTTCTGTGCAGAGCTGTGTGAATTTACTCTCCTCTGAATGCAGGCAAGTCTTCCTGCCTGTCTGCCTGCCTGCCTGTTTTAACACGTTCCTAAACGTGCAGTTTCATTATGCTAATATATCAGCCATCTTAGGATAGCCTTGGCAGAACACAACCTGTACATTTAGGGGAAGGTTAAAAACCTATCGTTTAGTTAGCAGAAAGCTAAAAATGTTTGCTGTGCTGGCCTTAGGTCTTCTGTCTTCAGGTTTTTCCCTCAACTGAGTTACACTTCCTGAAATGTGGCCATACTACGTCTATGCATTCCTGACCTCACTTTTAAGATTAAGTGATTTTTACAAATGCCATATTGTAGCTAAGGGAACTTGACAGACTGGTTTTTAAAGGCTACGATGCAGGTGCCAACATCTCCAGATGTGCTTCTTGCTGGGCAAAGTGGAGCCGCTGAGAGGCCTTTGGCTGTTGACTGCTCAGGCTCGTTGGCACTCTGACAAACCAACGATTCTTTCATTCCAGAGTTACCTTAATCAGGCTTATATGGTCCATAATAAGCTAATAATGAATGGCAGGTTGAAAGCAGTTTGGGTTGGAATGAAAACATTCTGGAGGGGAGAGGGGAGCCAGGAACAGTATCAAAGATCTGCTGTACTATGCAGATACCAGGTTTGTGGGTGGGATTAGCCGTTACTGTCCGGGGACAGCAGTGGAGACAGTCGCCTGTGGATCTGAAGCCTCGATAAGAACATGCCCTGGTCCCACAGTGCCTCCCACTTGGTGAAGCCCCACCAGGTCGTTCTGCAGTGTATGGGTCTTCACTGCCAGTTATTCATCAGTATTAGCCAGTTATTGTCATTTATCCAGATGGCAACTGCAGTATTGGTTTATGTGTGTGTGTGTGTGTGTGTGTGTGTGTGTGTGTGGGGGGGGGGTCTGTCACCGTCACTCTGTCTGACAAAGCCATCAACAGAGGGGCCGTGGTGAGTGACAGCTTGTGCTGTGATTCTCTTGGCTGCTGTAACCATGCTCGGTCTCACTTTGGTCGATGACGTCAGTAACCCATCACTTCTCTGGGTTAGTTGCAGTGGCTTATGCTTAGATAAGAGTTAGCTTAGCTTCTGTCCATCTCCAGCTTTTGAGGTGCTGTAAATGTCATTGAGTGTCCCGGGTTGCTGGTCTTGCACCTTCATTTCCACAGAAATATCCATTATGGGTATAATTTTGGGGTGGACGCAGGCAACAGAAAGACCTTCCCCAATGACTAGTGACCTCACTGTAAAAACTGACTAA